TCGGGATTGAGTATTTATCATTAATAGTTTTTTCATTTAGGTTCCTAAAGTCGACTACGAGTCGCCATTTGGTCTTGCCAGAAGCATCAACCTTTTTAGGAACTATCCAGATGAGGGAGCTCCATGCAGATTCGGATGGACGAATTATACCCTGTTCTAACATTTTATTGATTTAATATTTAAATTCGTTTCTATGAATGTAAGGGTACCGATAGCTTTTGGTATATATCGGCATCTCATCAGTAGTTCGGATGCTGTGCTTTATTAGTAAATGTTAGTTATTCGCCTTCTATATAAAAAACAGCGTATTTGGCACATAATCGTTCTAAATTAGCACGTTCTTCGACATTTAGATGGTCGGTGCGTAAACGTGACAATACTTCTTTGTAACGCGGGGTTGGTTGAACGTTATGAGAGGACTCGATGTTATACGTCTCGGCACATAGTGGGCGGTCTAGGGAGAAAATTATATCATGCGGAGTCGGGTTAAATACCTCTATAATACCGCGGTTGTTTGACACTGATGTAAGGCATTAGTTTATGATGAAATTAGAGATGTACTGTTCGCTAACTAAGGCTTCTCCGTCATGGACGTTAATAGGTAGTTTTATCAATTTCGATGATTGGGATCGTATCACGTCCTCGTAAAAATTAACATTCCTAGAGTTATACATTAAGATAGGATTGCTAGCTAATCGCTTGTTATGCTGTTACAAGTAGTCTATCCCTTAGATCTATTTTTGCTTCCCATTTCTCTAATAGGTCGAGACCAATCAGGCCATCGAAGTAGGCGTGAAATTTATAAATATATAATTTAATACTATCAGGGTTTTTGAATTCGGAAAAGCATGGAATAGTTATCGAATAGTCATTCCTAGTTGTGGCATGCACATTGGTTACCTCAAACGGATCATAATTTAAAGGTATATGTGAAATATATATTTTTGTATGGTCTCCGGATTTATGAAAGACCCGCCCCAGTATCGATTAGAAATTTTAACGGGGGGTTAGAAATACATATATATGGAAGCTGTCTCTACGTATCTAAGTTAACTTCTATTTTGGATTTTTGAAGAATGAGCTTTTTTGAAAATCCTGAGTTGTACTGCTTGTACAAAGCTTGTTGAAGGTTGAGAGTCTACGTTATCGTGTTCATCTATCTCAGTCGCGTCTTGGTAATGGTAATGCTGTGTGTTTTCATAGTCATAGGTCACAGTATTGGTATAGTCATAATTATCATCATAGTTGTAATAGTCGTATTGGTATTCGGGCTAATAGTAACTATTGTAATCCGCACATTCGTTAAAATTCATTTACTTATTTTGGAAATAGTTTGAAGACGGTGGGTTACCGTATCTACGCCAATCGTGACCGGTCAGACCTGTCGGCGGCATTGGTTTAGGTACGTAATGGCTAACGTCACTCATAGGCTTCGGACCCGAGTCATGGGGTTGATTCCTATTTGGTAATCTAAACATATCACTGTTGGGTGTGAATTAGGTACCAAAGCACGGAACATTTGTTGAGTTCGCGTAGGCATGTTAAACTGTGGTGGCACATAGGCCTAACCTAAAGGCTTGTTGGCTGTGGTACATGTTGAGGTCGCTGTAAATTTTGAATTAGCATCGGTGCAGGAAAACTGAATGGTTTTTGCAAAGGTAAGGTCATATGACTATGTTGGAGAGGCTTAGGTGCTTGAGGTTTCCTCTCAGCGAAAGATTCACCGCGTTGTTGCAGGTACATGACATTCAGTTTTTCCTGTACAAACTCCAAGGCTTTTGCAACCGTATCAGGACGCATGCAACGTATTCGTGAGCCAAGTGGCTCCTTTAAACTGCGCACGAAAGCTTGTTTTGTTAAATTTTTATTTAATACACGTTTGGCTTCTATTGTGGTAGGCAAGGTTTCATGAAGCATAACATACGTCATGATAGTGCTGAATAATGTCTGACATCGTGCATAAAATTCTTGGGGAGAGCTGTTTCCCTGAGTGGCTAACGAGAGGTCATTGTAGAGCGCCGTTTCGTCTCGTTGATCAGAAAAATTATTGATTAAAGCTGTGCGTATGCCATGCTAGCTTTCAGGAATACCATTTGAATTTAAAGTGGTCGCGACGGGTCCAGTTATCTTATTTAATATCCCGTTAAGCAGGCATAAGTTTGATAGTTCACTGCCATGCTCGTTACTTAGGTATACCACACATATTTGGTCACATAAATTTATAAATCTATTGAAATAATACTAGTTTTTACGGAATTTATCGCGTATATTTAACTTTTTAAATACCCGACGTTTCGAACGCTTTACAGCACTCATGGTCACGGGCGGGACTGAGATGTTCAACGTCCATATGTCATAGTTAACCGCGGTTACCATAGATTAAAATTTAACTTTTGTTCCGATCTATACAGTATGAACTTATGGTATCTTGAAGTCTTGCGGTTGTATGCTTGGGTTGGGATTTAATTTTATTTATTATCGGATCCCAAGCAGATGGTAACCAAATAGATAAATAGACCGTTTAAATATCTATAGATACATAGATATTTAAACGGTGATTCTCACCACCATCCTTCAAAGTTAGCTACCGTGGGTAAATGTTTGTTTCAGAGAGCACGAGGGATCTGTGACAGTAAACACCTGGCTGCTGAGCTCCACCATGTCAAGCAAGTTTTGCATGACAACAAGCTTCGAGTCCCGCGCCTACGTCACAGTGAACGAGTGAAGCCGGCCACAGTCGAGCGTGTACCTGCTGTACTGCCATATGTTAGAGGAGTCACTGACAAGATGGGCTACATCTTGAAGCGTGCTTCCATCAAAACATACTTCAAGCCGCTGAAGATTGGTCAGTTTTTACCATCAGTCAAGTGTAATGTCCCTCTGCAAGATGCAGGAGTGTACAAGCTTGATTGTGAATGTGGTCTCTCCTACATAGGACAAACTAAAAGACCAATAAAAACCCGCGTTAAAGAACATATAGCTGATGTGAAGAATCGACGCTCCGGGAAGTCTGCAGTCTGTGAACACGTACAGGATCGCCCCCCGTCACCACATCAGATTTGATAGATCGCAAATCCTCGCTAAAGAACACCGATTCCTTCCAAGGATGATTCGTGAGGCTATTGAAATCAAAAAATATCCTAATTTCAATAGAGAAGATGGCTGGGTGCTACCATCTGCTTGGGATCCGATAATAAATAAAATTAAATCCCAACCCAAGCATACAACTGCAAGACTTCAAGATACCATAAGTTCATACTCGATCGGAGATCGGGAGATCGGAACAAAAGTTAAATTTTAATCTACGGTAACCGCGGTTAACTATGACATATGGACGTTGAACATCTCAGTCCCGCCCGTGACCATGAGTGTTGTAAAGCGTTCGAAACGTCGGGTATTTAAAAAGTTAAATATACGCGATAAATTCCGTAAAAACTAGTATTATTTCAATGTGTAGTGTTCGCGTAAATATAAGAAATCATTTATAAATCTAGTTAGTACATTAAGGCGGAAACATATTTACGTGTCGTGGCGTGTCGTGATACTTACTGTTGTGACGGTGAGTATGCACACTAACGTATCGTGTCGTGGCGTGCTCTGGCGTTATTTTTGAACAGTACTTAACGAACCTTTGCGGCGTTCAAACATACATAATGTTTTCTTCTGATTCGGATAGTGATTTTGATGAAGACCTTCAATTTCTCTTTGCAATGAAACTTCTTGAGCGCAAAAAAAGAAAAAAAGATACTGGGTTCACCCTATAAACAGAGGGAGACAAGACAAAGGTGAATTTCATCGTCTTGTTAAAGAATTAGAGAGTGACGAAGAGAAATTTCATCAGTACTTTAGAATGAACAAAGCACAATATGAGCAAGTCCATTAGTTGATTGAAGGCGACATAAAAAGTACATACTAAATTTCGCTAACCCATAGGTACTAAAGAAAGACTTGCGTTATGTTTAAGGTAAGTTGTATTGCTTTAAAAAAATAAAATTGACCATGCTGTTGCATGAATTAGGTTTAACAATCATTTATCTTGAAACTAGCATTATTATCAAATCAACATTTAAGTAATCACACTCTGCTGTCTTATTTATTACTTTAACACATTGACTGCCATGTAGGGCACCGGTGACCGGAGGCGGTCTTGTATTAAGGCGCCACGTAGGACACCGGTGACCTCACGGTAAACCTGTTTTCAGAGTTTATTTACGCGCCGTAGGACGCGATTTCTATAGATTTCCTATTAGTAAGTGACCGGAATGGCGCTCAGGAGTAATACTTTCGCATGGTTTCTATGTAACGTAAAAATATTTTGAATTATTGAAGATAAACCTTCAATAACGTTAAAAATCCCAGAACATAACATATTTTTTAAATTCAAACGTATTTTTAAATGGTATGGGAAGAATAATAAAACGAGTAGTAAAATTACACTCTTTTACCCTTTAGTATAAAAAAAAAACAAAAAAAGAAAGGAAACAATATATCTGAAAAATAAGTTCACATTCTTACAATTACAAATACCGATGGCACTTATTAAAACATTGAAGACAATAGTGGGGTAGTCCAGGACATTCAGGACAATAGGTTGCCACTTTTTTGCCTTGTTTTTAGCAAGTCTTGATTCAAACGTGCCACTTGTTTTGTAGCATTCTACACAGAAGCGCCTGGATTGCCTTACTTTGCCTTCCTTTGCTTTTAATATATGTTTCAGTCTTTTAGGTCTCTTAGAAATAGATTCATTTTCGGTTTCATTTTTACCAAAGTCTACTAAATATTCCACTAATTGACGTCGGAATTCTACAATCCTTTGTTGTTGTAATTTCGCGAAACATGATCCAGGCATTTAATATAGCCGCATTTAAAATTAATTCGATGCCTAATTTCTTATACCATTTTATGGTTTTTCTTAATGGTGATGAATACGCGCTCATCTGATCACTCATGTCTACAGATCCTTTTGCTTTATAATAATATTAATAATAATAATAATAATAATGTTCCCTCTTCCCTCTTCTGTTCCCTCATCAAATGAAAACGCTACGACTGGGGGTGCGGTGCCACAAGTTGCAGAACAACCCGCACACCTGGATGCCGCCGAGAATACCCCAGTGGTTGCTGATTCAAATGATGATGGAACATTCACCCAGGAACTAGAAATAGAGCAAATGAGGAGTACATTGGAAGAAGTGATTATGGAAACGCGCAGTACGCCTCTCGAAAATCGACCGCGACTTCCCCGCATAGCCCTAAGCAAGCGGAATCGGGCTGTCGTGAGGGCTCTGAACCCAATGCTGGTGACCTATTTGGAAGCCAGCCGGGACCTTTGCGAGACGGACTCAATTCTCTTTGGCGCCGCACTGGCAGGTTGCCGTATTATAGGCGCCAAACTTTCCACGGCTGGACGCACTACTGGACAAAGTAGTGGTATCCCAGCCTGGAGAACAAGAATTGAAGAACGTATCGCAAAGGCTAGGGCCCTCATCGGCAGACTGATATGCTTCAGGTCAGGCAATACCAGACCAAGGATAGTGCGCACCGTCAGGATAGCGTTTGCTGGGACAAATGTTAGTTTGTCCCAGCCGGATATAATGCAAAAACTGACGGAGCGTATAGACGACCTGAAGCAGAGAATCGCTGCTTGGGGAAAGCGAATTCGGCGATATACCGAGAGGTCGACACGGTTCAACCAGAATCGTCTCTTCCAGAGTGATCAGAAGAGGCTCTATAAATCATTGGAGCGACCAATGGTAAGTGGAACGGGCCCAGTACCGAATCAGGCCGACGCGGTCGCATTCTGGCGCAGCCTGTGGTCAGAGCCCGTAAACCACAACGAGGGCCCTTGGACGGAAGTTGTGGCGAGTCAGTGTGCGGGTATTACGCCCATGGACCCCGTCACCATAACGCCGGATGACGTAGCTGAGGCGGTCCGTAGGGCCCCGAACTGGAAAAGTCCGGGACTCGACGGGCTGCATCACTACTGGCTGAAGGGGTTCGTGGTGTGTCACACTGTGCTCGCCCGACAGTTTCAAGAGGTTCTCAACCAGAAGTCGCTCCCGAGCCTATTCACTACTGGGATCACCCATTTGGTTCCTAAAGGCCAGGGTACCACAGACCCGAGCAAATACCGCCCCATCACATGTCTACCGACCATATACAAGACACTAACATCCATTTTGAGTCGCGCGCTCAAAATGGATGTCGGGGCGGCGGTCGTGGAACCAAGGAACCACTCCTCATTGACGCGGTCATTGGCAAAGTGGTGAAACGCAACCGTCGGAACTTCTCCGCCGCCTGGATAGACTACAGAAAGGCATTCGACTCGGTGCCCCATACATGGCTAAAGAGAGTCCTCGAACTGTAAAAGATAGACTGTACAGTTAGAGACTTCCTCGAGCAGTGTATGGGGCAGTGGAGTACGATCCTTTGTCGTCTGGGCGAGCGGATGATGGCTGCGGAGAACCACATAAGGATAAGAAGGGGTATCTTCCAGGGCGATTGTCTGAGTCCAATATGGTTCTGCCTCTTTCTGAACCCTCTCAGTACCTTACTGAAGGGCTCCAGGAGGGGATTTCAGCTACGGAAAGGAGGGACAAAAGTGACCCACCTTTTCTATATGGATGACCTCAAGTTATTTGCCTCCAGTCGCTCCCATCTTATGGAATTGCTAAACATCACTTGTGAATTTAGCAATTCCATTGGAATGGAGCTGGGGACGGATAAGTGTGCGGTACTCCATGTTGAGAGGGGTAGGGTTGCTAACTCTGAGGGCATAGACTTATCTATGCCCGTCAACTTTAGGACCCTTTCCGAGGCTGAAACATACCGATACCTGGGTATGTCACAGAACATCGGTATCGATGAGGCTGGTATGAAACAGTCAGTTTGTGACGTGTTTTATGCACGCTTGACCAAAGTGCTTAACAGCCTTTTGTCCGGTGTGAATAAGACACACGCATATAACGGTTGGTCATGCCTGTCCTCATGTATACCTTTGGCATACTCAGGTGGACTCAGACTGAACTTAACGCCCTGGATAGAAAAGTCCGCACTACCATGACGTCCCACAGGATGCATCATCCGAGATCGTCGGTAATGAGGCTGTACTTGCCGCGAAAGCATGGTGGGCGTGGCTTCTTGAGCGCGCTCACCATGCATAATCGCGAAGTGTGCAGCCTCCGTAATTACTTCCTGGCGAGATCGGATGATCCATTCTATAAGGACGTCATTTTTTGTGATAAAGGACTTACCCCTCTATCCTTAGCCAACGAGCAATGGCAAGACCCGGCAGTGCAGACAATTTCCGACCGGGAGACCGTATGGAAAGAGAAGGAGCTCCACGGGAGGTTCTACAAGTCTCTACATGGGCCTTTCGTAGACACAGTAACCTCCCTCCACTGGCTACGCTTTGGTGACCTCTTCGGGGAAACCGAGGGTTTTGTCTGTGCAATACAGGATCAGGTTATTAAGACCAACAACTATCGGAGATACATCCTAAAGGATGGCACCATCGACATCTGTCGAGCTTGTCGCCATCCCGGTGAGTCACTTAGGCATGTCATCTCCGGTTATTCGGCGCTTTCTAACTCTGAGTACTTGCACAGGCACAACCTAGTAGCCAGAATTCTACACCAGGAGCTCGCTCTGAAATACGGTTTCGTGGATCGGAAGTTGCCGTATTACAAGTACTTGCCGGAAGCCGTGCTCGAAAATGATCGCGCCAGGCTCTATTGGGACCGGGCCATCATCACAGACAGGACTATTCTTGCGAATAAGCCTGATATTGTGCTGATGGACTGGGCACAGTCAAGGATATTTTTGGTCGACATTACCATTCCGTGTGACGAGAACCTCGTGAAAGCCGAAACAGATAAGCAAACAAAATATCTAGACCTGGCTCACGAGGTGACCGACATGTGGGGTGGTCTGCCGACCCAAATTATTCCTGTATTCGTCTCTGCAAACGGGCTAATCCCAGTCAGCCTCTCGGGTCATCTGAGGCGGCTGGGACTACGTGGCGGACCGCTCCAGGCTCAAATGCAGAAGGCGGTGCTCCTCGATACCGCCCGCATCGTCCGCCGGTTTCTTTCCCTTTCCCCCTAACCCTCGGCCGTTTGGTCTCCCCTGCCGAGGGCCTCCATCTGGTTGGGCTTTTATTTATTTAAGTATTTTTATATTTATTTTATGTTATTGATATGTATGTATATTTATCTTTTCATTTTCGTTTATAATTATATATTTATACATCCCAACCAGATGAGAAAAATATATAGATAGCCCACATAATAATAATAATAATAATAATCATCTTTATTCAGGCAAATTACACCCATATCCAGTAAAATCAAAGAATTTAAAATCAGTCTCCAAAATTAAGCAATTAGTAAATCAATGTCAATGCAAAATAACAATTTTAAAATAATAGATCTAGTCAATGTAAATAGGCAGTAATGTCAGTATATAAAATATATTGAAATAAAATTAAAATTAAAATTAATAAATAAATAACAGAATTACACACATTTATCAGTCAGGAGACGAGATCAATAATTAAAACTTTCTCTGAGGCAACTGTGCTGCAATAAATGAATTTAAAATCAATATCCACAAGTATAGCAATACAATACATAAATCAATGTCAACAAAATAACAATTTTAAAATAATACATCCAGTCAATTTCAATAAGCAGTAATGTCATTATATAAAATAATCTAATCAATTAAAATAAAGTTAATACATAAATAACAGAATTGAAACACACTTTTATCAGTCAGGAGACGAGATCAATCAAAACTTTCTCAGAGGCAACTGTTCTGCGACATGTTTGTCGCAGCAATGCCGGATAATATTACAGTCTAACCTTCCCGAGATCATCGCCAAGACAGTGTTGGAGCTGGCCAGCATTCTGCGCACCAGGTACGCGGCCCGCTTGCGCATGGTGACATTGAAGCAATCGGTGCGCGCATCCGCGAACATACCAGAGACACTACAAAATCGAGGCAGCCCCATCACCGCCCTAAACGCATTATTGTATTGGACGCGGAGGACGCTGTAACTCTTCCTACTGTAATTAGCCCATAAGCTGCACGAGTAGAGCGATGTACAGAACGCTCTGAAGAGCGTAACCTTAACCTCCTTTGAACACCGCGCAAACCTACGAGCGATCATGTTAGTTCTGACAGACAGCGCCCTCCGTTCCCGATCCATATCAGCGTGATCCTTCAGGTCGACTGTGAGCAAATGCCCCAGATATTGAAACTGTTTAACCCTTTCCAGGGGTACACCATTTAATTTTATTTGAGGTATACTATCAGGACATTTCGTACCAGCGGCCTCAAAGACCATGTATTGACTCTTCCTGACATTATACAATAATCCGTGGCCACATGTATATTCCTCGCATATCCGTATCAGCTTCCTCAGGCCGCAGACCGACGCACTCAGCAGCACCATGTCGTCTGCATAACTCAGATTATTGACACAATCACCGTCAATGTGGCAGCCGACATGCTGACTGCTAAGCGCTACGATCAGCCCGTTGATATAAAGATTAAATAGGGTTGGTGATGTTAAGCCACCCTGCCTGACTCCACACTCAAGCCGATACGGATCCGACATTACCCCCGCCCACCTGACACTATTGGCCTGGTTTGCGTACCAGTACTGGAGCATGCTGATAAATTCTTGTGGCAAGCCTATGCTTTGCAGCTTGCCCCACAGCAGGTTATATGCCACCAGGTCAAATGCCTTGGATAGGTCGAGGAAGCACGCGTACACGGGCGTTCTGCGATCAGTGTAGTATTTGACGGTTTGCTTTAGACACAATATGGCGCTTTCAGTGGATAACCGAGGACGAAATCCGAACTGGTTATCATGGAGCATTACATGTTTATTCAACTGTGTATTAAGCAAACCGTCAAACACCTTTGCAATTACGGTGGCAAGAGAAATAGGCCGATAGTTACACTTGTCAGTCAAGTCACCCGTTTTGTTCTTCACTATAGGTACCACCACGGTTTTCATAAAATCCGCGGGCAGGTAGGAATGGCTTACACATAGAGAGTAGAACATAGCCAAGACCCTAGCTAGGTGAGGTCCAGCATGTTGCAAGTGCTCAACACTAAGTCCATCATGTCCCGGGGACTTGCCTCCTGACATATCTCCTATAACTTTTACTACGCTTTTAGCCAGGAAACTAGTCCCCACTGTTTGTGTGTCCAGGTCAGTGCTGAACACTTCCACTACCGGATCCAACAGAGACTTTACAGAAAAATGGCTCTTGAAAAGATTTGCAATATCCTTGGGATTGTTCATGCTATCGACGCACACAGGAAGGCCAGGCCGTATATTTATTTTACTGGTGGACTTCCAGAAGCCGCGAAAATTTCCTTTGCTATGTTTCACAGCAAGAGCGGTCCATCTTTATTTGGTCTTGATGATTTTGGCACCATTTTAATCGGGACTTGAACACTCTTCTGCTATCACACATTTCTTTGTAAAGAAAACCTGACCTGGGTCTACCACACAATACCCAGTCATTGAATTTAGATCTGGCCTCTCTGTGAACCTCACTGACGTGTTTGTTCCACCCAGCTATGCGCGGGCCACCCCCGTCCCTCCTCGCGCCTTCCCGACTCGCCAAAGTCGCCGCGCCTTGGAGAGCGGTCACAATGTCAGAGTAAAGCTTATCCAGAACATACCTGTGGCCACGGTCATTACAAAATCGGTCAGCACATTTTGCACACTCCGAAGGAAAGTCTACCAATTTTAGCCTATTATGACACTCTTTAGCATACACTGTGATTTGTTCCGCACTCTTTACACCCCATACTACGTCTTTGTTAAAATTGATTATGCTCGCAGAGAGCTTAGGGTTTATTAAATTTAAATTACACTTAATTATAAGTGGGAAATGGTCTGACCAAAGAGTGTCATACTTGACATCTACCCCGACGACAGCCTGCTTTGCAGCGAGAGTTGTGACACAGTGATCCAGCCAACTGCTGGTCCCGTGGACGCCACTAATAAAAGTAAAAGTACCAGATTCCTGCCCTAGCATATCTACATCTGTGCATGACCATAATTGGTCATTACAAATACTAACAAGTTCACTGTAAAACAACTCACCCGGGTCCGCATTGAAGTCGCCTAAGATAAACACAGATTCAATTCCATATTCGTCAATAATAGCGCTTACCGCACTCAAACACTCTGTAAATTCCTGTAAATTGTCGACAGAGTTTGTCGGCAAGTATACACTCATCACAATTACGGGTCTATCATTTGTTATAATTTTAACTGCACAAATACGTAAATTTTCACAATTTAACACTGTCGCCTGCTGGAACGCGCTATATCGCCATAACAATGCAACGCCGCCATAGGGGCGCCCACGCAGGATGCCAGCAGACGTATCGACTGCTGATGTCGCCACATAACCAAAACCGCTATCGATCGTGCCAATAAAGGATATATCATGATTCATAATCCAAGTTTCCTGAAGACATATCACGTCACACGTATGACATAAGTCTCTGACGTCATTGAGGGAGCGTTTAACATTCTTACAATTAAATGTAGCAAATTGATAGGGGCGACTATCCATTATTTGGTTTGACTATGCCGTCAGCGCCAATAGGTCGCGCACCGTTCTTATTCCTGTGTTTGAAACTCACAAAACGTCGAAATATGACACCTTCAGGCCATAGAGTTTCATCCATATATTTTGGCAGATTGACCTCTGATATTGAAAATTTGTAAGCTTTGTGCCCTCTATCATATTTCATATTTATTCTTTCTAGTGACACGGTTTCCTGAGTTTTATTATAAATATGTTTTATTATGTCGCTTTCCGTTGCAGAGTTATGCACATTCGTAATAAACATAATAAGTTTCTTATCTGCTGTCCGGAATGAGCACTGTAAATCTCTGGCTACACCAACTTTGCCGACATAACGATACTTTCTTGGTTTTTTGTGATACGTTACTGTCTGCCATCCTTCCTTTTTATTATTTTCATTTGTCAGAGTTTCACGCACGATGATCGGCTGCTCTGATTGACTATGTCCTTTTACGCACACAAAACCTGCCTTATCAGTAGGGGTCAGCTGGTTCACAACCTCTGCAGCAGAGCTCGGTAAGTCTGATGTCACCGTAACACTCGCGCTTGCCTTCCGACACAGCTGCGGCAGCGACGGCGAGCACTCAGGCCCCGCATTACAGCTGACGCCCGTTTGTTTATCTTGCGTTACCCTCACATCTCTAAGCTCTGACATGGGAGATATTAAACCCGTAGTATCATTTATGTTGTTTACTGTATAATCATGTGAAAGACCGATAGGGCCACTGTCTAGAAAAGCACCTGTTTTACTATTGATTTTAAACGCCGACGCCGGTGGCGGCTGTGGGTCGTTTTGTAAGCGAAGAATTGACGACTTAAGTTTGTAAACGCTATCTTGGGTAGCATACGTAGACTTTATTTCTTCAATTTCGGCTTTCAAAGTTAACATGTCCTATAATAATTTGGAACAGTCTAAGTGATCTATCAAAATCGGCGGCAGTTTGTCAAGCTGTCTAGCCACAAAAAATGGAATAATATCGGGTTCCGTAGATTTAAATAGATTTATAATGTCCACTACATCGCGCTCCTCTTTACTATTACTATATTATACTATTACTTTGTTTTTTCGCAGTATTTTTCTGATACCCGTTGGGATGGACTCAAATAAAAGTTTCTTAGAGTTTCTGATTTCATCACTTGTAAATGTCGATGTACAAATACGCACTAGTGATTCTTCGTCTATGATAGACAGTTTGTTTTGTATGTATGATAATAGTTCATCGATCACAATGTTACACACGTTGCACTTAAGAACGTTCGTCATTATTATAATTCGCGAGCCAACGCTACGAATAACAAAACACGCCCGACGCTAGTGGGTGCGCGCGCGCGACTGATTGCTATAACCATCTTCGGTTTTCGAATCACTTTTCCTTTTTTATGCACACTAGCAAATCTTTTAGAGTGTTTAGTGGAGAGCATGAATACACTTCGTTTATCCTTCCAGTGCAACACTGTTATACCGCGTTCGTTTTCCATTGCTACAGATTGGCCTGGTTTGAGTTTTGCATCAATAACTTGTTTGGGCAGGCCCTTTCTATTTTTTCTCAGTGTGCCTACTAAATGAGTATACCTATCTAGAAGTTCATTGGCTAAATCCAAACTCGTATACCAATTATCTGTAGCTACGGTGTGCCCCAAATCAAGTCATTCTTTACACAGTGACATTACAACGTTTTTAGGCGTTGTATTCAGCTGTTCGTCGTTTTTACCAGCGTAAAGTTCTAATTTACAAGTATAACCTGGTATTGTGCACAGTTTGAACAGCTTCATACCATATATGTGTTTGCTCTTATTATATTGCCTAATGATCAATCACCCGCGCACTTGACTTTTGTCGACACAAACTTCTTCGTTATTTAACGTTATTTAAGAGTTATTTAACGTATCTATCAGACTGCGTATTCTATAGATTCTATCGGTGGTATCTGCAGTTTCTTTGTCAATGAAATGCAGATTCTGCAACAACAGTTCGAATCTATTACGACTCATGATCGAAGGTGCAAAAGTTTGTTTGAAAACTCTGTCTGTACTCCAATATAAACTTATTTTTGGTAGTTTGATTAGTCCCATGTACATAATAAGTCCAAAAAGAGCCTTGACTTCATTTTTGTTTCTTGGCTTCCAACTATTCAAACGCGATGACGGCCTTGAGATTTCGCGTCGCTCAGCATACAAGTTGGTTTGCACAGCTATTTCCTCAAAAATTTCGTCTGAGACTAATAATGAAAAATAGGCTCCCGGGTCTGCATTTCGTAGTTCAATATCATACGGTTTCTTGATACATAGAACAAATCCGTAAATTGGTTATAAAAGGACATAAATAGGCAGTAGACTATTTAAAAAGAGTAAAAATATTTTTGACTGTTGAGCATTAACCATAGAAAACATACAGATGAATTGAGAACCTCCTTCTTTTTTAAGTCGGTTAATGAATAAAACACAAACTTATAGCACATAAACAATATATTATTATATTAATATCATTATAAATACCTGTTGGCTCCGTAAATGCAATCACTGATGGTTGGAGTCCTCTTGGTTCTCTCCATTTTTGTGGCCTACTTGACGACATAAGAGCCACATTCACTTTCCGAATCGCTTCTTATATAAAGACGCCTTCGATTTGTTGGGGGAGGGATATTCTCATCCCCGTTCTCCGTACACAAATCTTCCTCTAAATCGTATACATTGTCACATAACGTGTCTACTTTATTCAACAATGACTTCCAGTAAAGCAATTTCATACAGGGTGGGGCAGCATAACTTCCTTTTTTTAAAACCTAATAAAACACATTGTATGAATCGGAAAAATTTTATTTGGTTTTTACAATGTAAGTACATACTTAAAGTTTTGTTTTATTTAGTTTTGAAGATCAAATCAGGTAGATGACGTCCCTTATTCTCTATACATTGAGTATACCGATTTCTGGTGTTTGTCATAACTCTTTGAAGCAGAGCAGGCGTTATGTTGGCAATTTCTTCCTGGATGTTGTTCTTTAAATCTTGTAGGGTCCTTTGACGGTTAACATAAACACGGGATTTCAAAAAACACCATAGAAAAAAGTCAAAAGGGGACAAATCGGGAGATCGGGCCGGCCACTGCAAATCGCCCCTGATTGAGATAAGGCGTTCTGGGAAGTGTTCTCTCAAAACAGCCATCGATGCTCTTGCAGTGTGTGCCGTTGCACCGTCTTGTTGGAACCAAATGTCTCCCAAGTCCAACGCATTCAGCCGGGGTAAAAAGAATTCCTGTAACATGTTTACATACCGGCCCGAATTCACTGTTACTGTGACTTCATTTTCCTCAAAGAACCAGGGACCAATAATTGCAGCTGAGGAAATTGCACACCACACTGTGACCTTAGGTGAATGCAAAGGCCTTTCATGCAATTCTCGAGGATTGGTGTCAGCCCAGTAGCGCATGTTTTGTTTGTTCACGGATCCACACAAGTGAAAATGTGCTTCATCACTAAAAAAAACAATAGCGTCCTCAGGAACGACATCCAGAAGAATCTCACATGCGTTCCTGCGAGAATCGTAGTCACGTTTTGACAGTTCCTGTACAGTCGCCATCTTGTATGGATGGAAATGTAAGTCTTCATGGAGAATTCTCCGCACAGAACGACTGGAAAGTCCAAGGGCAGATGCATGTTTGCGCGCAGAACGCCGTGGTGATCGCAACATTGAAGCTCTGACTGCCTCAATGTTCTCAGGTGATCTAATGGGCCGAGGGACTCCAGTTCTTCGTTTTGTCACACTTGCAGTTTGTCTAAACGTGGTGACCCACATAACAATTGATTTTCGGTCTGGAACAGGGGCCAACGGGGCTAAATTAAAGCGATTTCGAAAGGCGCGCTGAGTTGCAATCACAGAACATCCGCGCGAAAAGTAAGCCTCAACAGCAAACGCACGCTCCTCACTGTTCCAACGCATTATAGCGACTGAGCTGTCTCGACTAAACTTTATAGCCCCCCCCTCTCGAACGAGACCACTAGCGCTCCACTACGATGTCACCTGACCGAATGGCGCGCATTACAAATAAGGAAGTTATGCTGCCCCACCCTGTATAACCTTTCAGCTGCGGAGACTCTAACCGTCATACTCCGTTGACTGCGGAGCTGTTTAATAAAATGGACGGATGATTGGGCCCAATCCGTTTAAACGCAAATATCTTGATTTCGGTATATCAAATACTATAATATGTATACATTTCTGAATTCTCTAGTAGTATATCAACATAATTACTTCTGTGCGCCATGTAGGGTACCGGTGACCTCGTGAAGTTTTTTTTTAATTTTCTACCGAACCCTGCCTCCGATTGACCCCAAAATTTAATACTATGTATATATAGACCCATAACATCAATTGGCACAATTTTTTGTGATTTTTGTCATTATTACTCTGGCAGTTAATGTGTTAACAATCATTGTTTTATCATTAAACCTTAAGTGAGTGACGAGGTACCCGGGTGCCTTTGGCATTTTCAAATTCTAAAAAAAGTGTGTTTTACGCCCTATATGTAGCTGTGACTACCTGAAAGCTCTTAACTATTTATAAATTACATATTTTTTTAAATATTTTGACCAAGTCTACTATTTACAATGTTTTGTGGAAACCAAAACATATTTTGAACTCACAATCAAGTAACGAGGTACCCGGGTACCTGTTTGTGTTTTGTGTGACTATGAGGAAAGTATTTTTAATTTCGTACAAAAATTAAATAATAAACATTTGTCGAAGCATTTTATTTCTATAAAAATTACAAATTCTTTGTTCATACAGTATTAATTACAGCTTTCGAAGCAGATGTTACATGTTGAACGATTTACTGAATGTTCATTACAAACTGGTTTTCTGCAGTTAGTGCAAGCTTTTAACAACTTCCGACGACTGCAACACGCCCTGTAGAGTCTCGTTTAGTTTGACTTATAGAAGTTGCAGATCCAAAAGAAATTTACGGCCTAAGGTCTCGGCCAAGCAGTTCCTGCATTGCAGATCTCACATGTAATTTTGATGTCACAATGCAATTTTTTGATCTCTCTTCTATATTTTTAGCACACAGTTGTAGACTCAATGGTTTCAAAAACTTTCTACGTCTGTCACTCGAGGCCAGTTGTGGGTTATGTTCCATGTAAATAATATATGCTGCCAAAGCTGCAACGTCAATGATATTGTAAAAAAGTGCTAAAGGCCACCGATTTGTTCTGCGTTTTATGGTATATTCTGCTAACAGCTTATCCATGTTGTCCACTCCACTTTTGGTTTTATTATAATATAAAACTATTTCTGGCTGGGCAGTTTCCTTATTACTTTTAATAATTGGTGACATGTGCATTGATTAACACATCATTACTGCTTTATTCTTTTTACGTACGTAAGAGCACACCGTTGCTTCTTTGCTAAATGCGAAATTAGAAGAATAAACAGCCCTCTCCTTGTGTGCTTGCATATTTGCAGGAAGAAACCGTTCATTTTTTCTTACCGTTCCAACTAGTGTCATATTACACGAATTCAAGGAATGAGCCAGTTGAAGCGACGTAAACAAAATATCCGTAGTTACATTCAGCCCTGAATTTTTATATTTAGCCACGAGATCTAATACAGTGCATTCTCCTACATTTTGTTCGACGTATGCCAACACTTGACTTTCCTGTATATACACTCGGCGTCAAAAAAAATGTATTTGTCCATTAGGGGGTAGGAATTATTTGCATCACAAGCCCAGAATATTTTTATACCATACTTTTCAGGTTTTGATGGCATGTATTGAGTAAAGCGAGTCCGCCCACGATATCCATATAGCTGTTCGTCAACGGTAATACATTCACTAGGCTTGTAGTTTTTATTCAAATTTGAAATGAACATAGTCCAAATATCTCGTATAGCAGCGCCTTTATCAGCTAACAAACGTTCAGGGTGCGTTACATCATTATCAAACCTTATGAAGCGTAGCAACATTTTGAATCTGTCATGGGACATCGCAGCCCGAAATAATGGTAGATGACTGGATTTCCACAGTTCAGTCAAATGCTCTTTATTAGATATATGCAGCCCACTAAAAATTAGAATACCAAAAAATGCATCCAATTCTTGTTCTGTGAATGGTTTGAATATTTTTATTTCGGTCGCTTGCTATATCAGGGTAATTTTCCATCAGTTTAATATTGTATGCTTCAGTAATCTTTGTCCCTTTCCGATTAGTTTCCCTCAAGATTATGTCACACATTTCATTGGACAATATATTTTTGAATATTTCCATTTGATTGTAAATTTTGCTGAACGATGCAGCCCCGCCCCGTTGACGAATAATATTTCTGCTACTAGTTTGTGTACTGGGAAGTGGTTCAGACTGCCACCGCATTCCATCTTTTGCGATAAGAATATTTTCAAGCGATGCCCCTTCAAAACTCGCATCGGAATCATAAGAATCAATCTCATTTTCGACTTCAGCTTCTTCCTCAACACCCGAAATTTCTTTTTTTTCAAGTAATAATAATAATTGTTTATTTTGTATAATTATTCATTTATACCTTTTCAAATAAATCATAAAGTGAAATACTATTTTATTGTCTTACCTGGTTTTTTCAAAATTTCAGCAATTTCTTCCCAAGCAGCATATCTGATCAATTGATCCTTGTACTCTTTACACTTTGAGTCATATATAACTTTTCGTTGACGTACAAGTTCAATAAGATCGCCCGTCATTTTGCTGCAAATATCGTCGTTGCGCGTGCATTTTTCGCTATGTGTTTTTACCCTACTTTTCAAGAGAGACAAAAAACTGATTATATCAAGTTGTGTGTATGAGTCATTATAATACTTTTTTGTATGGCAATAGTAATAGCACAATTTACATATTATAACCTTTCTATCTTTGTCAAATACCTTATTAAAGCTAGAAAAAAAGAATTCGATTATTTCTACACATAGTAGCGTTTATAATTGGAGTCATAAATATCCGCTAACTGTCCACAGAGCACATAGCGACAAATGGAAGTCGTATCGCCTACTATATATGTGCTGTTTTTTTCACATAGCTATTTTATAAAACACCATTTTTATATCAAAATAATATTTATTTAGAAAATTGTCAGACACATAGTAAGAAATGACACAATAAAGAAATATCCGCTGTAGCAAAATTAAAAATATATATATATATGCAATGTTGTAAAATAAGTATTTTTTATAAAGTGGTTAGGTAATGAATGAAAAATAAATTTCAAAAATGTGTTAGGTAAATTAATGACTTAAATTTTCATAAAAAAATGATAGTCACTTGGTTACATCGTTGTTGATGGGGCTGTTATATAATCTTGCAGGTGCTACTGGTTCTCTACTATTAATTGTCCTTTGTGGTAAAGCTTCCCATTCATAAGAATGGCGTACTTTATATTGCACTTCACCATTGACGTAAAGAATTCCTCTGATATCATTAACAGTGGCATCACCAAACCTTCTGCCTGGTCTTATTGTGGTAAAATTGCCAGGCACTTCTTCATAGTTTTTAGAGAAATTTAAATCTAGATAATGAACAACGTAGGGCTGCGAGGGCCTACATTGTCTCATCCTGGACACATAATCCATTGGTGTGAAAATTGGTGCCTTAAACTTTTTTTCCAGAGTGGAATGGACGCTGTCCACTTCCATCATTGTATGCCCTTTCTCTAATATAATTTGCTCAATGGTAAGCTCTTTCACAGCACCTAAAATTAGCTAAGGCACTGCATAAAACTTTATTTTTATTTTGATATGCACAGCCGTCAGAAATAAGAATTACTTTCTTTTTGTTTCCACAATACTCTTCTAAAAAGTTAATGATGCAGCTCGTAATATTATTCGCTGTTATTCCTCCCTCTCCTTTATGCCAAACTATACATCCTTAGTATTTTTACATAAAACGTATAATTATGCAGAGCTAATTTCATTTTATAATATTGCTCAGAAACGTGAAGTTTAGGAGACAGCAGCACGCTTTGCATATCCATAACAAGATGGAACCCTCGCGCATAGCCATGACAACATTTTTTAGAAGTTTCTGACCTAAAATCACTTTATAGGGCATACAGTCTTTAGGTACGATGTGAAAAATAACCCCGTCGTAACATCTTCCGTCGATCGAAACACTTTCGTAAAACTTTCCACACGATTTTATTTTTGACAGTCCGAGTCCCGCTAAAATCGTGTTATCGGCGCACTTGTCCACGTTCAGTTCATTATACACGTCACTTGCCATCAGATTAATTTGACTGCCCGTATCGATTAACGTGTCCATGTCCATTCCGCACAACTTAATTAATTTAACCGGCGTATTTTGTTGCTTTTCGTGTTTGTTTACATCTTGCCAGTCGTCGTTCTCGTTCGCCATATTGCAGCTATCATGGCTGCCCGTAGTGTCCGCTCTTCTATTGACCGAAAGTCCGAACATGGCCGATTGTCGTTGCGCTTTCGCCGTACTCTGCTTTACCGACATTTGCTGTCTCCCTTTCTCCACCGGGCCGCTTATGCGATACTCGCGAAACTGCTTACCCGACGATTCGTCCATGTTTGCAACGCCGCTGCTCTGCTCGTTCGGACACTGTGTACCAATATGGCCGAACTTATTACACCGGAAGCATTTAGTTCCATTCGTACACGCTGTTGTAATATGACTTGGATCGCCGCACTTATAACATCTTTTTAATAAAAGATGTTATAAGTCGGCAGCAACCTAATAATAATTTATTAGGTTGCTGCCGACTTACTGAACCCGACGATGAAGGCGATGGATATGATATGGATGACTTTCTTTGTTTTTCAGGAACGATCTTCGTCTTCATTTTTTCATAACAAACGAGTTTTTCTTTTAACACTGAATATGGTGTAATTCCATACATCATCTTGTTTACTTCTTGATCTACGATGTCGTCCACGATGTACTGGATCGAGACGTAGTCTGGGAATTTAGCTCTTTTGCCCAGTTCCTTCATAATCCGCATATACTGATAACAAGTTTCGTCCCGCTGTTTCTTGCGCGACGTCATTAACTCGTGCATCTCTTTTGCGTTAAGTGAGTCAGGGAATTCTTTCTGCAGTGCTGCTTTGAGCTCTTCGAACGTCTTAAAAACTTTTTCTGATCGTAGCCACAGTTCAGCCGTGCCTGTCAAGGATCTTCTCGCTACTATTAATGTTTGCTGATTTGTCCAGCTAAAAACCTCCTTATTGTCTTCGATGTCCTGAGCCCACTTTGTTGACGAATAAGTCTTGTCATCACCGCTAAACTTCGCGATGCTGTCCACCATGCTTGAAAAGCCTTCGGCCGCCATTTTTACGTCTTGTGAATCTTTTACAGCCTTTCCTTGCAGCGCGTCTTGAGATGTAGTCTTCTTAACTTCTTTAATGTCGTTATTTTCTCCCATCGGAGAACCACCTTCTTATATTAATGTGCTGCACCGTCGCCGCCTTGCGCCGGTACCGCTGCGCGCCGTGACCACGTGACGTCGTAACTTGAAACTCGATTATTTTGAGGCTATCCCACTTCTGACACCAAAATTATGTGAGATTTTGGAAGACCTCCTAATAAAAACCGAGAATAATGAATAGTTTGTTTTATTTTCACTGTTTAACACCTTTTTAATTAATTAATGCACTTAAGTCACGCACGCTTCTGTTCCTCGTTCCAAAAAAACCTTCTCCCCTCCCTCTCGCACCTCACGTCCTCCTTCTCACACACTTACGTTCCGTTTCACTCCATTCCCTTACGTTCCATTCCTACATTAGACGTGCATTGAATGTATGAACCTCACATGGCTATTTTTCGTAATTTTGTAAACGTGAATCTGACACAAAAATCTGTTTTTGTAGCCTACGAGTATTGACCTAAAGGTCAGAATGGCATCAAAAACAAAAAAATGAAAAAAAAAACACTGCGATTTCTGCACGCGCAGCGACGATATAATTATTAAAAAGTGTCCGCTAGATGTTCGCGCCACGAGCCACGCGCCGGTATAGAATCACATTTGCCTGTTGTTTCGTGTCGTGTCGTAACCCCCACCACCGCTCTGGCGCAATCGGTGGCGAGCAGTCGGCGCCACGACAGAACGTGTTGTGACGCGACACGATATGCAAATATATCCCTAACCATATTAAATGTGTGAAACCGATATGCATCTGGCGCGCCACGACACGCCACGACACGTAAATATGTTTCCGCCTTTAGGGTTACCGTCGAACTCTGGCACTGGGCGTAAAACTTTGAAAAGAGTATCAGGGTCGTGGGCCATTTTTGGTTCCTCGGTAATTATATCTAACTCTAAATAACAACCTAAATCTCTATTATAGTCTAAGCTTTATCTACGTGGCTGACTACGCGATGTAGGGTCGTAGTGGGATGATTTACTTGGATGGAAAATTTTGACGGGAAAGATTTACACTAGGACAGAGGAAGCAACACTAGATAAAATTCTGGTGTACTTACACAGATTTCATCTCGGTTTTCTCAGGATCGATGTCTTGATGTATCCTCTTGGCTTGCAGTTGGTCCGTAGTAGATTCAGATACTCGATTAAAGCTTGAAAGCTACGACAGTCTAACTAACTTTTGAGTATCCTACCGACTGCGCCAATTACGTTAACCGCAGCCGAAGGACAGAAAAAAAAACCGAAACTAATTTAAAATACTTTATTATAATATAAAAATTACAATATAATTGTTACAACTAAAAAAAGAAGTGAAACAGATCGATGCTAGATCTCGAATGATTTTAAATTATTACATTAAAATAAGGTAAAGTAATATTGCAGAGCTCCGATTGCATCCGTTGACGTCAATGCTCACGTTCTGCTGAGTTGCGCCTCGTGCCGCTGCAATGTATCGGGGTCGCTGCTGTGTAGGCTCTTTACCTATGAGGCTATGCTATAACTACCTGTTTCAAAAGCTGAGGTGGGCCCGAGACCAAAATAAATATAATACAAGAGCTTCTGTTCATTCCCTTGTAACAACTCGATACCGCAGAGCTGCGTTTCGAGGTAGTTTCAATTTTGCAGCAACACACTGTTGGAATGATCTACCACCACCTATTTGTTTCCTAAAATCACTGAATAGTTTTAAAAACAAACTAACGTTCTATTACTTAATATAAAAAACTCAAAATACGTAATACAATTATGTTTAGAACGGAAAATAGTAATAATATGTATATTGTTTAACACTTTTTTTTAATTATTTACCATGTTCAGATATTATATTTAAAGGTGCTTATTTCTGTTACATATTTGATGAATGATCATTTATTATTTATTTATTTTTAATCTTACTTTTTATTTTCTAAAAAAAATCTAGGTCTCGTAACATGGCGTGTGTCTTTGAGTCATCATCATCATCATTACAGCCCTTCACAAGTCCACTGCTGAACATAGCCCTCCCCCAAGGTATGTCACAAAGCACGGGCCTGAGCCACGTGCATCCATCGACTTCCTGCATGTCTTACCAGGTCGTCACTCCATCTAGTGGGGGGGGGGGGTTGCCCTACACTTTGAGTATAGAATATGTATTATATATGTACTAAAATCATAAATTTTATTGCAACTTTGCTTTGTCTTCCCCATAGAGCCAAATATTTTATGTGTAAGTATAGGTGTAGTGTATGTACTACACACCATTTATATTGATATTAATATAGTGTGTGTGTGTTAACTGTGTTTGTTAGCTTTACTCTTTAACCCACTGCCTAATTACTATTAGTCTATAAGTTGTAGTTACGCGTAATTCGAGGTTCACACACCGACTCGTCAGTGAAGTCACAAGGTTCCAACTGAAAACCGGCGCTGCCTCTGCAGCATTATGTTGAGTTGGATTCCTATTCGATGTCACATTTTATCTTTAAATTCTTTTTTTAATTTTTTATTTGTTTTTTTTTTGTTTCATTATAAATTAACATTATGCATGTTCTGCTTATTAAATAATTTTTAATGCGTAAGCAGGCTTATACTTGCGCATGCATACCCTATATACAGAGAGCCCCTTGTAATTTATATTTAAATTGTGCGTAAAGTATGATTATCAAATATATCGTCACTGAAAAGACAAAATTACTGGACCACCAAAAAGCCATTTCGAGAAAAAGCCATATTTATTTATTTTCTAAACAAAGAAATTCGTATCTTTTTAATTTATCACACGATTTAAATCAAATAACTTGATATGTAAACCTTATCCATTTTTTTATTTTTATTCATATCCTGTATGATACTCTGAAGGCTGTTTTGGGAAATAAGTGGTGGATAAGTAATATGGCCTCATTTCAGAGTAAGTTAAATCTACTTAAACGCCGCCAAGTAAACTTCCTTTGCCATTTAAACGTACTGATAACACATAACATAAGAAATGGGAGTACGATAAAATTTCTTTTAATATAACATACTGCTATTCCGATGAAGTAAAATTACTTCAAGGACATATTTTCCATTTTCATGTCTAGTACAAGAACTTAAGGGGTAATCAGATAATTTACTATGTTAACCAAAATTTATTTAAAGTAAGTTTGCCGTAATTATATAAGGGATCAACGACGTTAAAGACTAATGACTCATTGAATAACTGAAGTGTCCCTAAATAAATTAATTAGATACTTAAAAATTACGTATCATCTGCTATCATTATTAACTAAATGA